AGTGCAGGCTGGGACTAACGGTTCTACAGGAGAGGACCCACCGGACCACAAACTGAACAAAGTCAGCAGCGTGTCCTTGCGGTAATGAAGACTAACCGCATTTTGGACTGCATTAGCAAGACCACAGCCAGCAGGTCAAGGGACATGATTATTGCCCTCTATTCAGCACATATGAAGCCACATCTGGAGCACTGTGTTCAGTTTGTTCTCTCGCCAAATAAAAGAGAGACTGAAGAGAGTCAAGTGAAGGGTCATTAAGATGGCTAGGAGCTTTGACATACGAGGAGGTTGACAGACTTAAGAATACCAATATTCTTATCAATTTTAATGGACTTTTACTGCTAGAGCATTCTTAGCAGCATTCCTTATGGTCACATTATGCAAACAGATGCATTTTGGTAGTCCCATCCAGAAGACCTGCAATGGCTATAGGCATATATTAGAGCACATTAATGCCACCAGGGCAGTACCCGACAATGTGCCACAGGAAACTTTGAACTGGGTTCCATACAGACATTAAAAGGTAGCCTGAAGGTGGTACTGTCTCTGTGCTGCAAGCAGAAACTCCCATGGATCTTCCGTATTTCTGTGCCTGACAAACTCACGCCTGCTCAGGGACTGCTGCACAGAAAAATGATTCGTACATCAAAGAACAAACTGGCATCCTACCCATGAATGATTTTCCATTTATAGTTGCAAAGCCACTGCTAAAGAGGCCAAAACTAGTTTATAAAATATTTCTGCAGCTATAATTGTTTAGGACCACTGAACTGCATGTTCCAAGCCAGATCAAAAGGAGCACCGCAAACTCATGAAAGGCTTATGTGTAAAGACAGGGTAAATTCCACGCCTGGGATCCATCTGTAATTCTGTCAAACCAAGAGTCCTTGTAGCTGTACACAAATTAAATGTCTGTCTGCCAAAATTAAGTGAGTGAAGAACAAATACCCCCTTATCACTTTTTTACAGTAACTACCTTGTTTTCTTTAATGTTAAATATAGAATACCCTTCCTTTTACACTGTTGTGAAAATACAAATCGGCTAGAGGGTTACACCAATACCAGACATCGATCGTGGTCTTTTTTAGATCACCATTTTGCTTCAAACGTAGATGTGTAAAGCATGCCATATTCTTTTGACTAAAAGTATTACAGCTGATAGAGCTGAAGAAGTTTTAGCTTAAACTCAACAGGATTTTGAGGAAACTCTGTATTATTTTCTTGAACAGGTTCAAGGTAAGTATATCACTGATTTAGCATAGATTGACAACACAAAGATGGATTTAAGAAATTGCAAAGCAGTTGGAATGAAAAGTTTTTACGTTTTTTTTTAATTTTTTTTAATTTTTTTTTTTTAAGTTTTTACTTTAAGGTTTTTTTTAAGTTTTTTCTGATGTTTTTACGTTTGCAGACTAGTGATACACGCATGATCTTTCATGCTTAGCCATGTAAAAAAAACAGGAATTAGTAACTACTTGCAGCGTTAATTCCCTAAATAATTAGTACTTATGCAAATTAATATTTAATGCCAGTTTTCCCTCTTTAAAAATATTTGCTATTTCAATAACCAGAGATCTCATTTTGGAAGTGAGAAGCACCACTTCTCCATTTAAAACAATACTCACAACAAGCCACTGACAAGGATTATAGCAAATGGCAGCTACAGCTAAATTCTTTAAAATAAACCTGGAACATGTATTGCGAGATCATGAAATCTTCCCAGTGTTTGTATTTGTTTACATTTCAGCAGCAATAAACATAAGTATAGCATGCATATGCCATTATCTGGAGAAACTTATTCCATGTGATTAGAGATAGCCAAAAGGCAGGATATCTAACATCAAAAATAGCTTTCTTATAGCTTTATCTGATAAATCTGAATAATTAGCTTCAAGAAAAAAAAAAATCTGTGAACATGAAACCTCCTGAATTCTTCAGCTGCTCAATAAACTGAATGGTTTAGTTTGGTTCCTCTGCAAATATCACGGTCTGTACAAGAGGTAGTAACTTTTATAGCTCAACTGATCTAGCTTCAAAAAACACATTCTGGGACATGAAGGGTTGAAACTGTGCCTGCAAACTTGACCTTTACATCAGCTGGTCTAATCTAATAAAAGATATTACCTCTCCCTAGAAGCCCTTGCTTTGTTTATGGGCATGACTGCCTGAGCTTACAGCACTACTATTATCAGACAATGCCAACTGCAAGGCTCTCCCAGTGCCAAGGGTGGGAAGGACTGACTGCCAGCTCTTCAAGCGATTGTCCCAAAATACCCTCACATTAGGGATCCCCGTGCAGTGCCGGTACCTCCAACTTCACCACTGCCAGCAGAGGGGACGTGAGACACTCCCATTGTGCACCTGGGACTGCGGTGGTGTAAAAGGGGTGGCAGTGCCGGGGATGCGGAGGTGCTGACCTCCTGCCCACAAACATCGTGGTATTCCCCGGTGGAGCTTCGGCCTCGCGCATCCGCACGCCATTTCTCCGCTTGCGCGCATCCGGCCAGCGGTCTCGAAGTAGCTGCCGGAACAGTTATTAAGGCGTCGCTGCCCACCCCGCACAGCACTAACTGATTTCTAAACGGGTGGCCCACAGCTTCTGCTGGACAGACACCCCAAGATCCCCTGAGCACCCTCGGGCTTTCCTCTCCCGCGGGCTCTCCCAGCTCTCGCGGCCTCCCCTCAGGCGAGGCCGCTGCCCAGGGCCTCACGGTGGCAGCGCCCCAACACCCGCTTGCGGCCTCCCGGGGGCCGCTCCGGGCGAAGCCTCGTGGAAGAGGGCGCCTCACGGAACGCCGCCGC